CTTCACTACTAGAGAAGGTTTGACCTCTTCTTCAGTCGGCGACTGCCCCTCTCCTCCGACTACTCAGCCCCATCGTCCATCCACTTAGTCAGCACCGGGATGAAGATCCTATGCTTTCGTCTTGACGTCCCCTTGTGCCGACGATAACCCTAAACCGATTGACCGCACCCTTGTAGGAGAAAGAATAATAAGAAAGTTTGCGTCTAGGTGCGGGAGGAAGAGTTAGCGGAAGACTCCTACCTCAGTAAGTATGTATGGGCACGTCAGTAAACCACTGGACAAACCGGTGCTCGCGACCAGCGAGGTATGGAGATCTCACTGTGACCTGTCAGCGGTGGCGGGGTTGATGGACAAGGCAGGGCATGAGCGCGACGTAAACGACCATCGTCCGGCGTCGAAGTGGCCAAAATTAGCGCTGATAGCGCAGCCGCCCAGCCGCAGCGCCCCCCTATCGTCTCGCCCTGACTCTCTGTTTGATTTGCATGTGATTATCATTCTTATACTAAAATATTATATTATAATCTGCCCTATGGTGGCCACCAGCCCACCGTCTTTTTATTTTTATTTGTATTTTAAAGGCCAATTCTTTAAGGCCAACCAGGCACAGTGACCGGCCCATCGAAAAAGCTCGGTCCTGATGCTACCGGCTGACCCCTGGCCGGTACCGCCCACCTGCTGGTGGGTGCAGCTCCCGCATGTTCCCTCGTTGGAGGCTTGAGCACAGATGTGGCTGCTACGGGGTTCCCCGTAATACTGTAATGACAAGAAAAAAGGCCTGAAAGACCGTCCTGTCCAACCCGCCATCTATGTGGCATACTGCGTAGCCACACGGGCCCTGCAGGGCCCGTCCCGGACATTCAGCCTAAAAGCCTAAAACTTAGGGCTTACAGGCCCCGTTCGTTTCAGCCTGGATGCTGAAAAACGAGGGCCTGCAGGCCCTACCCTGTTTCAGCCTATTTTTGGGTCTTTTCAGACCCAGAGTTTTCAGCCTGAAACGGAGGGCCATTTTCAGGCCCTCATTGTTTTGACCTGCCCCTAAGACTCAGGCATGTAAACAGGGATGCGGAACAGGCCAGAAATAGCCTGTTCCTCACGAGTTTGAGCAGGAGCTGCAGCTGCAGCCCCTGCCTCCCTGCGGCAGGCTCAGGAGGCACACCCGTAGTACATAGGAAGTTCCCATGCACTTCACGGGTAGGAGAGTGTCAGTAGGCAGTGGTAGTCTTCAGGATTTCGGCCGCAGCACTCAGGAGGAGCGCTGCGGTAGTCTTCAGCGCTAGGTAGGATTAGCGCTAGCTGTAGTCTTCGGCGCTGGGCGCCATAGCTGTAGCTGTAGTCTTCAGCGCTGGGCGCTGGTAGGTGGTAGATCGTAGAGTGGGAGAGAGACTGGCGAGGCCAGTGTTACTTACCTGTGGCGCCATCGCTCCA